CTTTCTTTCTATTTTTTGCTTCACAGCATATCATGCCATTATTATTTCGTGTCTGCCGTTACTGTGCTTGGTCGATTGTCTGAGTTAACATTTTTATTACTTTGTTTGTTGTGAAATGCCTTAATAGTACTTGTTCACCGCATTTGTTCTGTTGTTATTCTCCGTCTGCTTGATGAGCTCTTTCTGGACAGAATCGACGTCTTCTTTAGCTTGTTGCAAGATCTTAACAAGCAGCCTCTTATTCTCCTGCTTGTTAGCATGTGTATCCTTCTCCCCAAGCAGTAGTACTAGTGATTCAACTTGGTCTTCTACTTCTAGTGCTAGATTATTGAGCTTCTTTTTCCAATTATTCTTTGGTTTGTTATGAGTAGAGTTGTCAAAAAGCTCTTGCAGAGAGCTAACCTTCTCATAGAGTAACTTCATATGTTATTTGTGGCACTCCCGAAGCTCTAAGTTAGATTGTAAAATAAGGTGTATTATGCTTTAGCTACTGATGGCTTGATTAACAATGCTTCTACTTCATTCTTGGACTGTGAAGCTGTAGCCCCTTTAGCTTCGACTTCTCCGTCAGAATTTTGCACTGATATTATCAAATAAAACATGCACTATTTTCTTTAATGAAAGAGAAGGAGATATATAGACTAATGAAGTGGCTTTTAGTGATGAGATTGGTATGCATAAACTCATTGTTGAACAAAATTTTGCTCTCTGATATGTTATCATTCTAATAGGACAAAATCAATTTTGTTAAAACGCAAAAATGCCTTGACATTGTGATTTCCTAGGGATCGAAACTGCTTTAATAATAATTAAGTGTCATAAATTGTGTACACGTACGCGTGACATGATTATTGACACGCCAAACAAACGGATACACGTGCGCGTGACTTGTTTTAAAGATAATTTCTTAATTAAAAGAGGTGAATGCACATGGGTTTAAAATAAGTAATTAGACAATTTGATTAAGCCAAGTATGATCAAAGCGACCGTGCTAAAACCACGGAACCCGGGAATGCCTAACACCTTCTCCCGGGTTAACAGAATTCCTTACCCGAATTTTTGTGTTTCGCAGACCGTAACAGAGTCAAACTTCCTCGATTCGGAATTTTAAACCGGTGACTTTGGACACCAATAAACTATCCCAAGTGGCGACTCTGATTTTAATATAAATAATCCCGTTTCGATTGTCACTTAAATTGGAAAGAACTCCCTTATTACCCTTTTCGGGTAGAAAAAGGAGGTGTGACAAGTAGAAAGGCAGCTCCCAGGGGTCAACGTCTAAGAGACCTATCACGAGATTGCAAAAGAAGGAATAACTTGAGTCCGTCTTAAGGAAAAGTAAAAAAAAAGGAAAAGAAGAAGAGGAGATTGGTGAAAGATGGAAAGGTTGTCAATGAGAAGGTAGTGGCTCCTACACTAGTCGTGAATGTGGATGAAGAGGTAGAAGAGGAACCTGGTCCCTTGGTTCGTAAGTCCTCAAAGAACTTACTGTTCCAAAGTCCAAGATGGAGCCATCTGTGAGTGAAAAGGAGTCGAGGAAGGTTGAGGGTGAAAAATCTAGTGAGAAAGAGGATGAAAAAATGGTTGAGGAGTCCTGTGAAAAAGTGGCTGAGGAGTCTGCTGAGAGATCTCCAGAAAATCTGCAGAAAAAGGCAAGAGTGTAAGAAAATCAATAAAAAGGTAGGTTGATGCCAGTAAGGAACCTGGTTCCTCCAAAAAGACCAAGGTTGGTGATACCTAGGACGCTGGCAAGGAAAAACTGAAAAACCAAAAGGTGTTGTGGAGCCGTACAGAAGGAAGCTGAAGGCAAGGAATGCCATTCTCGAAGGCTACCTCAGTCAGGTTCAGGTGGCACCTGGTTCCAGCTGCTCTCAAAGCACAGAGGTTGCTCGTCTGAGCAAGAGAGACTGCTCAACGAGCAGGTGTCAGCTAATGCTCGAATGGACATCCTTCTTCGTACCCTTGCCTCTTCATCTGGGCCTTCCCCTTCCAGTGCTCCCTAAATAGTGTCTCCTTCTCAAATGTCAAGTCCTTAGTGTTCATCTTTTACTTTAGTTCTGATGATGTTTTCTGACTGGCACTTTTGTTTTTGCTGTTTTTATTTTGTGGATGTGTTTGGAAATAATGTAACTGCTCCCTGCTTAATTATCCAAAATTAGTGAAAGCTTCCTCTTTTTGTTGTGTATGTCTTGCTTTTATGTTCTGTTTTAAGTCATGTTTGTCTGTACACATGTGGCATGAGTTAACCAAGCTGGACTTCTTTTTGCTTAAATGTTGATTACTGATCTTTTTATGATGCCAAAATGGGGAAAATAATTGAGGGGGAACAAGATGGGGAACAGATTCAGGGGGAATACAGAAAATGTGAATGTCATTCTGGTTCTTAGGGGGAACTTAAATTATTAGTTTGTCATCATCAAAAGGGAAAAATTGATAGGTTATATGTGTATCCTTGATATGTTTTGATGATCTAACAAACTTACTGATAAGGAACCTGATACACAACCTCAGGTAATTAAAGATCACCAAGTCTCCAGTTGGAGAGACAGTCAACTCAGGGTCAAAGGAACAGCAGAAGGAACAGCAGAGGGACCAGATAGCTACCAGTTCCCGAGGAGACTGCATAAGTCAACTGCCCTAGCTATAAAGTTGTTGCCTACATACACTACAGTGCAACAGTCAACTTTATGGGGAATGCCCTTTACCTAACTTTCTTACATCATTCAAGTGATGTCATAAATGAGATATTAACATCAAGCAAAGGTAAAACAAATCACATGCACATTCAAGAACTCATCAAGCATTCTCTCAAGTTTGTGTCAATCTTGCAAGTGATTCTCAAGGGCATCAAGAACGAAGAACAACATAACCAAGGACCAGTTCCATGTATTGAAGTTACTACATGTCCTTAGTTGTGTTGTACCTTTGTTAAACCACTCTACTTGTAATTCCTTCTTAGCTTAGTTAGAAGCATTGTGTAGGAAATCTTTGTAATCATAAACCCTTGTGTTTGTGTCTTGGCTAGAGTTAGTCGAGTTGTAAAGTCTTTATAATAGAGTTATTACAAAGTGGCTTGTAATAGAGTGTTAAGAGGTTAATTCCTAGGTTTAAAGTCTTTGTAATAGAGTTATTACAAAGTGGCTTATAATAGTGTTACAAGTTAGTGAGGGATTAAGAGGTTAAAAACTAGGTTGCAATAGGTTGTAATCAAAAGTTGCTCAGTAGTGAAGTTGAAATCCTACAAAGGTAGGTCGTAGTTTTTGATCTCGTGAGCTGGGATTTTTCCATGTAAAACTCCATTGTGCCATTTACTTACTGTTGTGTGCATGTGTTCTATGGGAACTAATATAGAATTTGGTTCTCTGTAGAGTTTGGTGGACCCTTAAATTCTATCAACCACCTAAGCCTCGCTTCCCGCATCTTGTCCTCCACCGAGGCTACTCGTACCTTGTCCCGAATATTTTCATTTCTAATATTACCAATCCTGGTATGTTCACACATCCATCTCAACATACTCATTTCTGCTACTTTCATCTTCTGGACATGAGAGTTCTTGACTGGCCAACACTCTGCTCTGTACAACATGGTAGATCTGACAACGACTCTGTAAAACTTACCCTTAAGTTTAGGTGGCACATTCTTATTACATAAAATACCGGATGTGAGTCTTCATTTCATCCACCCCGCTCCAATACGATGAGTAACATACTCATCAATCTCCCTATTTCCTTGGATAATAGACCCAATGTACTTGAAACTAGCTCTCTTAGGGATGACTTGTGTATCAAGCCTCACGTCCACGTCCGCACTATCAGTTTTGTCACTGTACTTGTACCAAGTACTCAGTCTTGGTCCTACTCAACTTGAAACGTTTAGACTCCAAGGTCTGTCTCCAAACCTCCAGTCTTGCGTTCATACCGCCTCGCGTATCTTCAATCAGAACAATATCATCCGCAAATAACATACACCATGGAACCTCCGATCCCCCTAAATGTGGCGCGTCAGTGTGTCCAACGCCAAAGCAAATAAGAATGGGCTAAGAGCCGACCCCTGGTGCAACCCCATCATAACTGGAAAGTGGTCTGAATCCCCCACGGTCCTCATTAACACTAGTTGTTAGCGAAGAGTGTATATAACTAAGTTACATTAAAATTAATTAGGAAACCAGATTACTATTCCTAGCTAGATCATGACAACTTATATTCCTTCTTCGATGCATCCAAGATCTACAAAATAATGTAGAAGAAATAATTATTTCAAAATAATGTAGCACATCCTCCACCTATAGTAATTTGTTTTGGCATATAATACCTTGTTTTCTTTCGTAAGTGGAGCCCTTAGTACAATCTAATTATGTCCGTGGCTCACATTTGCTGATCTTGATCAAGTAAAGACTATTAAAACATGATATGACCACTTATATATATA